ACTCTGTAAACATTCCCTTAGGAAGTAGAATGACATCACTGTTTACCGGGTTCATAGCTGTGGCTCAAGTGATATTCATCTAAATATAGGAAGGTCCAGATACACATCAAGGCAAAGAATCTTTTGTAACCCTGAGGGATTAAAAGATAAACCGGAATGAATGCGAGATGATTCACAAGCAAGGAATTGTAATTTGCTGCACAAATGGTGTTCACTTTAGACTTTCCTGATGATGTTTGCTTTTTTTTATTGTACTACACTCACCTCTGGGCAAACTGGGCTTCACTTTAAAGGCTGGGAATGACCAGCCTTTAAAGTGGCTGGTCATTCCCATTCCATGGTTCTACCTTGACTGGATCAAGGTAGAACCATGTGTTTTCAGATCCCCTGAATGAGATAAATGGTGGCACATGATGGAAACACTTAAGCAAGCATAGTGCAGCAAATATGTTAAGTCTATAAGACCAAGCACTTTACTGGTGGCTATCCTCAGAGAGCTGGCTACTTAAACATTTCTCTCCTCACTTATGGGCGATGCTAAAAGCCTAAGGAAAAAAAGTGGCTTTGTACCTACACCAAAGTGCCCCCTGGGAAACGTAGTTTTGGTCTCTCCACCCTATTCCCACTCAGTGGTGCGTGCTGCTCACCTCCTGCTATTAGACACAGCATCAGTGCAGCGTGAAAACGCAGCTCCAACACTTTGAACGTGCTTCCTCCTCCTGTGCCGATTAAACTATAAACCTTAACATGCAAGCGAGGAGATCATTAGATTGCGAGGAGGGCTACGCCCAGATGTTGTTATCACAGATAGCGACTTAAACGGGGGTTTATGTGGTTAGACTAAGACCGTGCTGGAGCGTTCAGGGGGGTAAAGCTTATCTGCCGTGGTGTTTGTTAACCTAAATACGCACAGAAAATTGTTCACATATGTGAAGAAAAGCTGCTATACATCAAGTGTCTTTGTATTTAATGTATTTCCTGCTTCTCTTCACCTCTTCTTTAAGTCAACACTGTAATGTTGATGTATATGTGGCGCCAAAGTCGTGTCAGATGGTGACCACATGTCAACTTCAAATGTGCTCATCTGAACACATTTAAACAGATTTTATCATTTATAGTGTGGTTCAAAAACTAAATTAGCTGTTTACCCCTAACTATTAGCATTTCTGTTCCCCCTTTTTTAGCTAACCTTACACTTAGCAATTCATCATGTTTAGTGACCACTTTCTGCATTGTGTTTAGCAAACAAACTATTTAGACTGTATACTTTTAGCAAAGCTTTAAAAGTGTAATTCACACTTTAAGATATAATTTGAACTTCTAGCTCATGATTTCAGCTAGCTATTTTGATGTGTTAAGCTAACAGTTTCGACTGTTAAGCCATCCCTCTTATTTGAATACTTTTGACATTTTACCATAGGTTGTTTCCAGCAGCCAGACGTTCTTATAATATTTTAAAAGAAGCAATATTTCTCCAGTCTTTCTATATTTTCTTTGAGCTATGGTAGCTTTTTCACTAGTTTTCAGTCCATTCGTGTACCTGACTGCTTTTGTTAAGCCACTTCACATTGACCTATGAATCATTCATGCATTAAAAAGGCACATAATTTTTCTTCATTTCTTTAGTGGAATCTACAAAAAATGCTAAAGATAACACAGGTGGAAAGACAGAAAATAACATTTTTATACCAATAAGGTGATTCCCAAAGAGCTATTAACTGAAAATGGTTGGCATATTTCAGTATGGTGTTCAGTGTGCCCTTAAAAATTGTGAAGAAACTGGACAAGTGGAGAACAAAAGAAGTAGCAGCCTAAAAAAAAATCTCCACTGACGCCTGATCAGAAATGGTTTCGGTGGGAGGATGTATGTTTAGAAGCCATTCTTACGGAGGGGAAACGTGGAGAAAATGCTGATTTATCCTTTTCCGCTTATTCTTGTCAGGGTCGTGGGGGGCTGGAGCCTATCCCAGCTGTCTTAGGGCGAGAGGCAGGGTACACCCTGGATGGGTCACCAGTCTGTCCCAGGTCGAACACATAGAGACAGACAACCATTCGCACTCACATTCACACCTATGGACAATTTAGAGTTACCAATTAACCTAATCCAAATTACACAAGAACTGGAATGAAAATCAGTGGCAGTTTGAAAACTCGAAAAGTTTGCATTCAAATCAGTGTCAACATATACAGTGAATATCAAGAGAGAGATACAAAATTGAGCGTGTACAGCTATTTGTAAAACACAGGGGGCTTTGTCATGGTTTGCTCTGCACTCAGCCAGTGGTGTTAGAGATATTGTCTGGACACAGAAAAGAATAGAGCAAAATGCAGCCAACTTCCAAAGAAAGAGCTTTGAATGTCCTTGAAGAAGCCTGGAGAACTATTCCTGAAGAACTGTAAAGACTCGGTTTTTGCCTAATATACTATACTTCCATGTATATTAGCACGTTTCAATAAATCGCTGCACCTATTTCCCATTTTCTACCAAAATATAGAGAAATGAGGGGTGGCTTAAGACTTTTGCGTAGTACTATATTCTAAATGTTAGTATTTCAACCTCTAGCTAGCCACACTTTTAGCTAATCACGTTTCACTTAACAGAATTTACAAGTTTTTTTGATTATACTTTTAGCTAACTATTTCAGAATATTAGGCTAACAGTTTTAGCTGCTTAAGCAGAATTTTGGCAAGAAATTCTGCAACAGAGGTCATAATATTAGCTCACAATTTTAGCTATTAGCCACTTTTTAGTTTAGTGAGATATTTTTTAATGGTTACCCTGTGTTGTCCATTAATTTTAGTAAACTGTTAACTATGACATTACATTCGGGTTTTCTTTAGGTTGGGTAGTTGATCTGTCATACAACGAGTGGACTATGAGACTATGGATTCACGCCTCCTTAACCAAACAGCATATCTCACTTCTTGTCCATGCTTGGCACATGGAAAGCCTTGCATAAGCATTCTGGTTTATATGACTGCCTAATGGAGGCCCGATGTCTTCTTGGCTTTCAACCCAACACAATCCCATTAAGTTCTGGTGAGTGGGCACATACTATATCTCTGTGTGAGGCTCGTTGTTACTGCTGCTGGCTCAGCAACAAGTTTGGGAGGAGGGAGGCTGTTTTTCTAAAGACAGCTAATGGAGAGCAGGAGCCGATTGTGACGGACACCTTAACGAGATCAAGTAAACAACCGAGTAGATCTTGCTAGTACTTCTACTTTTGTCACAGACTGTGACTGACCACCGTTTCTAGCCTCACTGACCATTCAAGTTCACACAGCATTCACACCTAAGACCAATTTTAAGCAGCTATTTACAATCATGCATGTCATTAAGAGTGTGAGAGGAAGCCAGGTACAGCGAGGCACAGGGAGAACATGCAAACACTTAATTTTTGTGTAATAATGTCTCTGCACAAAACTCAACAACAATATTATGTTTTCAAGTCTACTTAAGGGTGTTTTACTTATCTGCGGCTTTGCACATACAGTAACAAGGCCCACTTCAAAGCCAGAGCAGTGTGAAATACAAGCATGAAATATTTATAGGTATACACTTGAGGACGGCGATGGCTGCTGCAGTGTGGGCAGCCGCTTTGGGTGCTGGGGCACTTTTTTATCCATCATTACTATTAAATTAATATAAAGGAGTCCCCCCGCCCCACCCCCACGCATTCGCCATCACTGTGCATCGTCAGCTGTGACGCTCTCGAGCTTCCACTCGGCCTGTGACGTCCACACCACAAGAGAAGCACCGAGTTCACTCCTGGGAGGCAGATGGAAAGCGCCGCAGCAATACTCTACTGGTGAAATTATAAAAGTCACAACACTCATGTTCAACAAGCAGAGAAGGGGGCGATATTAAGTGTAATGAAAGGATTTTTTTCTTTTCTCTTTATGATGATAATGAAGTGCATACACCCCCCCCCCCTTCCCCCCAATGATGCTCATGTAAGACCACTGCATGAGTCAGAGCTCCTATCTCACTTTGGTTTCCGTCTGCATGTCTTCTTCGCTGATTTAAAGTGGGGCACTGTTAGTGGGGATTTTTGTTGCCCTAACATAACCACACCTAACACTCCCCCATCTTCACTGAACATCCATGAAAAGTAGCATCAATCGCTCGTCTGTCAGCTGCTGGCATCAAAACAACAACAGCTATAAAACGTTTTTCTATTGAAGAAGTCATAATGATGCGCTTTTGTTGGGAATAAAACAAAGAAAAATACGTTTCACTCCAGTTGCACCCTGGAGTCACAGGCTCACACATTTACACAAGACTCTGAGCCAAAAAAAAAAAAAGAAATTCCAATGTGTCACTACCGAAAAGGATAGACCACAGCCTTTCTCCCACTCTCTCTCACTCCCAGGCTGTGAGATGAGCTCAGGGGATGTGTTGAGTAATGGACTGAGCTGATCAAAGCCGTGCAGAGTTAGTCATGTGTGAGAGACGCAGAGAATATCAAACCCTGGGAGAGTTCAGCGGGTTGATGTGTGACAGGTGAGCCGCAGCTGGGCTCTTATGAAGAACATATGAGCGGGATGCAGCTTCTCACGAAGGACTGGAGGAGAGCGTGGGGGTGAGAGAGGAAGAGGAGAGAAGACATGGAGAGGATGGCAGTTTTGTGATGTTTCTCAGCCTCCGTTTAAAATGAAAAAAAAACAACAACAACAAAACAAAACACTGATTTGTACGTGTGTGTGTGTGTGTGGGGGGGGTTCATTACATTTATAGAGGCCCTGGAGGGGCTCCATGGGGTACTCCAAGCATGTTTACTGTTAAATGTGACTGTTTTATTTATTTGAATCAAGGTGTAAATATTTATTATCATATCCTTAACATTCCTTCACCGACACAGACAACTTCCGGGGTCCTTATTGCCCCAATATGGCTATTTAAGGCCCATAAGACGGGTTTTTTTGCTGCCTTTTGTCTGTGGCATCAGAGCATTTATTTAGAATTACAATGAATTACAGCAAACTGGAAAGCCTCTCACCTTTTCACCCTGATGATCTGATCTCTCATGGGTTTGATGTCCTGAAAACTTTGCTGGTTGACCAGGCTGTAGACCAGGATGAAGCCCTGGCCGTTTCTGATGTAAAGGTCTCTCATTGAGGCGAACTGCTCGGTGCCGGCCGTGTCGAGGATCTCCAGCACCGACGGAGAGGAATCCACCTCGATCTCCTTCCTGTAGAAATCTTCAATGGTCGGGTCGTACTTTTCTATAAATGTCCCGGTGACAAACTGGACCGTCAGCGCGGACTTCCCCACCCCGCCGCTGCCGAGCACCACCACCTTATACTCCCGCATAGCGCTCCCGCGGAGTTAAATCCGGCATGCAGAGAATAAAGTGATCAGCAGCGGATCAAAGAAACGCATGCCCGTGCACAGCAGCCCAGACTCACGCTACAGGCATGACACAGCCTCCGGTAAACGAGATGCTCTTGCAGTTATAGGCGGCCGAATGATGCTGGAGCATTTAGCCCTGAGATGCACAGCCACACTGCCTTCTACTGAAATATTCCCACGCTATCTTGAAGGGACACCATTCCGGAGGCATCCATAATGCAATAAGGCGTCGGTGCAGTTAAAATAAGATCGGCTATTATTAGAAACAACTAGACGGCGCATCTTTTTATGTGCCGACAAAATAAAAGGCTAACACTACATTTCCCCTGCACAGTGGGGTACAGTGGAGTTAAAGGCGAAGAGCACTCTTTGGCTTATAGAAGACAACAGTGCTGGGAATCCACGCCTCTGGTGTGCTTCATCCACTGGATGCTACTATTTCCTGGAAGATATGGAGGGAGATTAGTGCCACATGGCAACAGGGAGCAGAGCACAGATGCGATGGAAAAGAAATAAGAGAGGCTGCTGTGACATAATTGTTTTTGACCTCGTTTTAAACGGAAATATAAGCTAATCTGTAAGGAATGCTGTCAGCAGCCAATGAGAGGCACAAGACAAAGCCAGAGGCTTGGACTTGGTTTGCAGCACATAATTTCTCAAGACAGTGTCAACATATGATGCTTGACTCTGAGCTCTTCTGAGGGATGTTAACTGAAGCCTCAGGTGAACTAAATAATTTGTTAAAAAGGTGAACATGTCAAATTTCCACTCTGCAATTTCAGTTTATTTTTATTTCTATGGCACCAAATCACAACAACATTCGCCTCATGATGCTTTATATCATAAGGTAAAGGGAATAACAGAGAGAAAACCCAACAATCAGATGACCCCCTGTCAGCAGACACTTGGCAACAGTGGGAAAGAAAAACTCCCTCTTAATAGGAATAAACCTCCAGCAGAACCACTGTATAAACACATAGTAAGTCTTTTAAAGGGTTTCCATTTAAACGGCATCTTAGAAGACCAGATCAACCAGAAGGGGACAGTGCTAAGCACAAATGTGAAGGTTCTGCATAATGCACTGTGATTGAGCACTTAAACAATTTTCCTACACATTTAATCCTTTAAAAGTTTCTGAACCATGCCAGAAAAATCAATTTTCTAAAGAAATGTAGATTCTGCTGAACCTTTTAACAAAAAAGTAATTAAAAATATTAATTTGCATTTATATAAGTTTTAATTTGTCTCATACTTGGTACATCTGGCATTTTTTATTTACATTTATTGCTTAAAATGTATCGTTATTAATTTAGGTTTTTATTGGAAAACTAAGAAATCTCAAAAACTCATGTATCAGATATAATACACTCAGAATTAATGGTTTAACCACTCATGGTTAAGTGTGCCCAGGGAAATATGAGTGGTGCAGGGCGTGGAAGCTCTTTTTTTGTCTTGTATTGCAGGAAAGCACTTTGGCCTGCCAGTCTCTGGAGCCATAGTAGCCCATGTCTGTATATTAGCTTGTGTTTTGGATTTGCTAAAAGAAAAAAACAACCTGCTGCTGGACTGTCAACCAAGCATCAGATATAAATGGGTGTAATAACTGTGTAAAGACGTGGTGCAAGACAGGAACAAATAATCTGGACAGAGGCTGAAATTCAAACAAATTTTGGGGGCATTTTTATGATGATTCTTTTTACTTTCTTTACAGTTAATCTTTGTCACCATGTTTCTGCAATAACCTGTGTTTTTTATTTATTATAGTTTGTGTTAGCTATACCCTCTGTGATTACTTTGTTCTAGTTGTAGTGTAAATATCAAGAGCACTAGAGAAGGGAGGCTGTGTTCGTGTCATTTGTTCAACGAGGACTGCAGCTCATCGTAATGAATTTAAGAAGGCTATTATCTAATTAATGACACATGATAAGCAGCTGCTGAGAGGCCCGTCCACTGCTGTCATCAAACGGCAGTTAACTACACATTACCATTGTGGTACTAATAACCCCTCATAGATGCTTTCCCCCTTCAGAAAAGCACTACTCCACTGCAGTAACGGGAAATGGCAGAAAATAAATAATGGAAAAAGCGCTTACTTGTCCTGCTCTTGGGTCCTCTCATTATGTTTTATCAACTCCGGCAAAAACTTCATGCTGCAACTCTCAGATGTTTTAATGCACGCAGCTTTATAATCTCTTTTCATGAGAGCTGATGTTTATTTGCTTTTAAGGCAGTGGGCTTTAGGGACCACCAGGGGCCCTCGAGAGGGCCTCTAATAAAAACTCTGGGTAAAGCAGGATGTTCGGCACTGCAGTAGACAGAGCTACAGTACTGTTACTACTTAGAGCAAACATCTCTGTGGGTTACTGAAGAGAGAGTGTGACACAAACGAGATCCAAAGCAAAAATCATTACTTTAATTTTCTTTATTTCTTTCTTTCAATAGATTTTACACTATCTTGCTGGAACCAAAGAAACATTTGACTATAGAAACATAAAGTAGCACAAAATATATGCAAAAAAACCCAAAACATTTAAAAATGTTTACACTGAAACTAGAAATCTGACGTGGGTCTTCTTGTCAATTGGTTTTCATGTCTTGACTTTGTTGGTGAGGTACACTGCAACAATGATGACACAGGCAGCCACACTTCTTAACCTTCAGTCTCTGGTATAGTGTCCTCTGCTGGCTAAAGCTGTGAATTGCATGTTCCATTGTAAGGCAATGGGACCCAAACGATTTCACTCACAGATTTGGGAGACAGGAAGTAAAGATCGGTGACTGTTTGCTCTGCTGCAATCTCCTCTCACTTTTGGCCTTGTGACGCATACGTTAGAACCTTAAAAAAATGATTTCCGATATAAAGATTCATAGTTCAAATGAAACTCTGAAGGGATTTGAGAAGAGAAAGAGAGAGACCCACTTAGGTCTGTTTAATAAATTTCATAAGAGCTCTTTAAAACATAAAACCTTAAGTACGATGGACTCAAGATAAGGCAAAGTGTTTGGATAAGTTGAGTCTGCTCAGTCGGCCAACTGCTCAGAAAGTGCTGTTACCATCAGTCAATCATTGCCAACACAATAAAAAAAAAAAACATTTCAAGAGAAAGTCCATACACAGGGGGCACCAAATAAGGACATTTTGTGTACAGACATTTTTTTTTTATTCACTAGAAACATTCAGTACGTTATAATTTAGTAAGAAAAGAAAAGATTGTTTTCTCTCATGCAACGTGTTGAATTGAAGTCATTTACTGGTAATATCTGCCATTTACTGATGAACAGATTTACCCTTGAAGGAAGTGAAAAACAGAACAGATCAATAAACAATATGAAAGTGCAATCCTAAAGACTAGTGATACATAAGCCTCGAATAAAATGTATCTGTGTGGAACCTAGAGGTCCTTTGTCAGGGGGAAAGTTGAACATCTTATTAATTTATAGATTATTTAGTTCTTATATTTATATATATATATATTTTATATATATTTATATGTAATCTATGTAACATCGATGAATTTTATATCTCTAAGTGTTACAGTCACAGCACTATAGAGGCTGTTACTTACTAATGAAAATATTAGGTCACTGTCATAATCTCAGAGAAGAATAAGAAATGTTCATATCTTCTTTACAATCTACCTTGTACAGTGTTCTAGCAAAGAAAAAAAAAACAGAAACAAAAACCAACTTAACAATGTCATTTACAAAAATACCCAACTTTAGTAATTGCAACATCTGGTTGCCACTGCAACAAGTTATGTTATGAAATACTATTATACTAGAGTGAAAAGTACATCTTTTTTGAAATTTTCTTTGCTTTTTTTGGTAAAATGTCATCTATACAATAAACATTTTTTTTCCCAACAACACAAGCAACTCTATAACTATGCTCATTACTGCAACACCGTGATCGTTTCTATGGATGAGAAGGCAAGAAAGGTCCAGTAGCTTTCCATCGAGGGGAGGGCTGAGGGCGGGTCGACGTTTAAACCCCTCCCACTCAAGACGTGCGCAACTTCTCATTCGCCGGCCCCCTACGGGTTAGACCTTGAAATGACCAACCGTGCAGAACGTAGCACAGCTCAATAAATTACATTCATTTCAAAATAGAATAGTTTACAACATTGTGTTTTCTTTTTCTGACTAAAATTTTGACCAAGAGTAACATAAGATAAATTACAACAAAATAGAAATTTTTTTTTTAAACCACCTTCCACAAATATTACACACAGATCAGAACGTGTGTGAGGACATTCAAAGTGAATGAAACTCAAAAAAAAGCATGATTGTGGATTGTCGATGTTAATCAAGCACCATGAAATTACATCCGAATTTTGAAGAATGTCAAATAAAATTTAGTATAATGAGTTAAAACACACTGCTAGTCGTCAAAATACAAAAAAAGAAAAAGAAAAAAATGTTGGTGTAAAATGACCAAAGAACATTTTATGCTCTAAAAAAACAAAAACAAATGATTGTTCCAGGAGGTGGAGGGATTTTTTTTAGAGAGGGGGGGAGGTTCAAACATACTTTGATAGTAGACACAACACAAACTCTTAAATAACTTTGAATACATTTCTAGAACCATGAATATAAACTCTCAAAATAAGAGACACTTTACATACATTACACAGTTTACAATACATGTTTGTCTCACTCACGTTCCTCATGTAAACTATTCAGAACCATGGTAAGAAACAATGGTACACTGTGAAAGTCACCAAACATTCTACAAAGCTATTTTTGATTTGTCGTTTCTTACGTTTCTTTTTCAGTAAAGTCACTTGTGATGTTAATGAGCGCTTAGCTGGAAATCTCCTCCAGGGACGCCAAAAAGTGTGATGTCTTTTCCCCAAAGAGTCCTTGTAGCTCTCGACAGCCCAGTGTGTTGTGTCTGTGACTTTTTAGTGATACACTCTGGATGCAAGTGTTGTTGATGAGTAATTTTTTTAGGCACTTCTACAGTTTTCTAAAATGGAACAGGATTATCGGTGATAGTAGGGTTGGACAGAACAACCGACGGTCACAGATAGCCCTCCAGTTGAAGTTCAAGTCATCTGTTTGCTTGACGAGTGTCGTCGAATGCACCGTTTTTTTTTTGTTTTTGTTTTTTTTAATTGTTTAGTCTTAGCACTTAAATCCTTCACCCTCCTCCAGGTAAAAAGCTCTCCTACCAGGCTTGGTGTCACCATCATGTGCCAGATCCCACTTTAAGTCCCAGTCTGCCGGCAGACCATCAGTCTCTAACACACACGCACACACGCACACGCACGCACACGCACGCACACACACGCACAAGGCTTGGCATGTCTGGAACAAACCCTCGCGCTTTGCTGAGCCCTTGGCACACACCCCAGCCTTCAGGCTTTTTCGGTAATGGCCACGACTATCTTCCGACTTCTCCTGTCACGACTGCATGCACAATCTATCAAAGATCTGAACCCAGCAACGCAACTAAAAAAGATGGCGAGTGGGTCCTATTTGCAGTGTGGGCAATGGCAAAAGAAAAAAAAAAGTGACCTCTTCCAAGCCTCAACTTTGGCAAGATGTTTCCAGAGATGAAAAGTTGGCAGAGGGAAGGGAGGGAGGAGCTTCATCATGGCATCTTAACAGCATCGGGTGGCAGATGAGGGTCGCGCAGGAACCCTCGCAGGGACAATCACACGAAGAGCTCATGAGCCTGGCTGCCCCGAGGACATTCAACTTTTGCAGAGAGAAAAGCAACGACCGCAAGACGAAAAACCCTCGTGAAAGCATCGCGTGCGTAGGTGTGTTGTGCATGGGGTCTCTGTGACTCTTCCTTGTCTTCAACATTAAACACTATACTTTCATATAGTGCAAATCAAACATCTGTGTTTTTCTTGACTAACCAAAGGGATGAATATTGTGCAGGTTGGTTTTTAGAATAAATATGCAAGAAGAGGAGATCCACGGTATTCTGAGAGAACAGTTGTTAAAATGACCTCTATAGTGCGTCTGCTATGTATGTACTATACATAAGAATATTTTTTGATTTTTCATTGTTAATAGTTTTTTTTTCTAGCAATACATACAGTATATATCTTTTTATTTTTTCCTGTGTGTGTGTGTGTGTGTGTGTGTGTGTGTGTGTGTGTGTGTGTTACACCGGTACTGCAGTTCTTATGGTTAAATTGAAGTGTTACACTCTTAGCATGCAGGTTGCTGGACCTCTATGGGAGAGGTTAGGTAGTATTTACAGAGGGGATGTTTTGGGTTTCCTAGTGCAGCTTCTTGACACTCCGTTCCCTTCCTGACTCTTACTTCAGGATAATCTGCAAGACAGAGACAGAGAAAGCAACGACAAAGAAAAAAAGAGAGAGAGCGTTTCAGTTTACCTATAAGACAGAAATACAACTTTATCTGCACACACTATTGTGTTTAAAAGCTTTGGAAATTCTTTATAAATCAAAAGACTAGCACTACACCTAAAAAAAATGTGGCCATGTTTTTGGAAGAAAATCAACTTTGTTTATTTCTAAGATTACATAAAATTGATTAGAAATATTGTAAAACACAATCTTCCTCCTCTCACCCCCAACCTGTCAGACAGCTGACCTGCTCTGAGCCTGTTTCTGCCCGAGGTTTCTTCCTGTTAAAATTGAGTTTTTCTTTCCCACTGTCGCCAAGTGTTTGCTTGTAGGGGTTGTTTGATTGTTAGGGTTTTCTCCCTATTACTGTATAAATACACAGAGCCCCATATCCAGCTACAAGCAACCCTGTATTCAAGTGGAGCATGTTGCTATCTAATGCAAAATGTGCCGAGTAAAGAAGCAATAAATCTGAGCATCACCCTCTGTGGCTTTCTAGCATTCCTAACAACAAACCTAATAAGACACTTAAATCCCCATCACCTAGTCAAACATTTTAAAGAAGCTAACAAAGAAAAAGTGGTTAAAGCTAAAGCTGTTCGGAGTTTCGAGCTAGCCACAAGCCAGCAGCCTCGGTATGAGCAAAGGATCAAAGCAGATAAGTGGAAAAATATGAAGATGAGTGAAAAACAGAAAAGTGTCGACGTCCTGTTACTTAGCAGCTTTTAACACACTGAAAAATGTAGTACCTGAACTTTATTTTCTTCGATAATTCTGCTGCACCTGCTTTTGTTTTTGTATAAGTACATCAGATAAATATGTGTGTAAAACTCATTTTCAGCGTTTTCTCCCTTCCAGGAGAAAAGCACTTCATTTTCGTTAGTTTCACACAGAGAAGGCTATTTAATTGTAAAGTCTAACAACTAATTTATTATGAAAATAATATTCTGCATTGAAGCGAAGTTGATTTTTGTTTGAATGTGTTGTCATTGACGTTGTTGGAATCCTTAAAAAATAGCAATTGGTGCATCTCTAATCATTTTATTTTGGTTCTAATAAATGACAGCTGTTCGAGCTGAAGATTTCATACAGCACCTGCTGCCTGCGGGCCCTTGCTGTTACCACAACAGATAGAAAAGGTCCTCAACTGGCATCTTCATTAAATGGTACTGGTAAATGGTACCTGCTACATCCAGATTATTCAGCTGTTACTGGCATATCTTTATTGAGCTTCAGAAAAAAAGCTAATTTTTTAAAGGAGATTTTGAGACTATAGACAAAACCTGCAAAGTCTCAGCTGTGCTTGCATGACACAGTAGTATTTTAATATGATAAACGTGGATGATGTAACATTATGGATCTTTGTTATCGCTGCAAAATTCAGACCTAATAGAAATATGATTCCATTACCCATAAATGCATTTTATATTGTGACATTTATGATCAATTTAATGTCAAATATAAATCTAGATCTGGATCAAATCTGCCTTTTGTCTGATTAAACAAAGTCCTTGTTAGTCTGACAGTTTCTAAAGCCTCCTTTACAATAATGCAATAACTATAACAATATATTTTTTTTAATTTTAAAAAACAGCCAGGTGTGGAGGTGTTGAAGTAGGAACAACTCAAACTTATCTCAGGGTGTTATTTGCACTGTTTCAAATCATTAGCTGAGCTGGTTAGCGTTAAATTAGTACAGCTGCTTTACAGCTCCTCATATGTGCTCAAGAGGAGGCTGTGACGAACTGTGAAACTTTTCCTTTTAGATTCAGTCCATGTGGCATATTGTGCATAATCATTTCTCTGAAGCAGACTGGCACCAAAGCAACAGGTAGGAGGTGTTTACCACAACAACAATGTGTGAGAAAGGTCAGATGAGCACAGATAAGTATTTGCCAGTGAATAATACATATCTGTCTTACTGATGAGCTGTGGCAACATCACCAGCTTGGTGTTTCATGCAGATAAGAACCAAGCTTCTAACTATTTGCAAATAGCATTTAACCCTCGTCTGGTAACCTCGGTTTGTATTCTCTCTTTAAGAGATTAAGCCTAAACCGCCACACAGCAAAGAGAAAGCGAGACAGTGTGAGACTGTCTATAAGGGGGGGCTGACAGGTAGGAGAGATGCTGGCTGCCATCATGTGGGCGCCACTGGCAGCAAGCCAACGCAGAACAAAGCCACATGACGCTTGTTAATAGACAATGGACGGCCAGCAAAGGACAGAAGCCGCTGGTCACACCACACATCACAGGAGGTCACCACAGTGGGAGAGAGCGTGTGATGTGCACAGGTCGAGAGAGAAGGCAGTGCAGTGTGGAAATTAGGGGAAAAAATTTGGGCTGCCAGATGGGTGGGATTTAACAGATAGGACGCTACAAACTAATGCCAAGAACTGTTTGCAGGTCCTGTTTGCCTTTGATTTGGTGCAGTGATACCAGCAGCGTGTTTCAGCCCAGAACGAGTCAGAGAGACAGCAGACGAAGATGACGTGCTGCAAAATCACAGCGGACATTTAAACTGCTGTACTTCCTTTTTTACGCGTTAATATCAGCTAATTATAAGAACTGCACGGTATCACAGTGACCTAGTTTGCAAATTTCATAAGATGAAATATTAATTAAGTGATAAGAATTAAAGCAGGTTCCCTCTACAGCAAGGTGAAGCATCCAACTCTTATGCTCCAGCTGAAGAGCTCCTCGACATAACAATGTGAAATTCTACTTGAGCATAATCTTCCCATCAGTCCAGCAGCCAAAGCGATCCCCTCTAGGCTGCAAGTCCGAGTCGACTGCAGCACAGCGACAGCAGAGGGTGCTGCAACTTCACAATCTCCAGTAATATGTAGCACTTCACAACTGGAGACCCCGGCAGCATTAGGACATGCTTAATATGTGCAAGGACATGCAACGATGTGCGTCGCATGAATAGTTCAGAAGGTCATGAATCGACCAGACTCCTGAGGTCTTAACGAGTGTCAGCATCCTGGCGTCACAGGGGTGTGTAATACCCTTTAGACACAGATTTCCTCGGCTGAACACGACGCCCAATTAATTATCGAGTTCGGCTCAAGCTGTCTCGGCCCAGGATTTATGTTAAAGAACCAATATAATAATCAAAGCCGCTAGTATCGGGACAAATGCGCCACTGTTTAGGACAGAGTGACGTCGGCAGCCCCGCACCCTCAGAAAATGCCTGGGTGTGTATTCGGAAAAGCCATATGATTTTTATGACTGCACTGAATGCAGCACAGCTGGTGATTACAAGGGCTAACTGTGTCCGAGGCCCTGCTCATACCTGGCATTAGCTGGAGGGATCTTTATATGGGCTGGAGAGGAGGTGAGAGAAAGAGTCGGGTAGGGGGTGGAGTGTAAGTGGGGGGGGACACACGGAGACAGAGAGCAAAGGCTGACGTCAGTGTTTCTCCGGCTCCTTGTCCCACATGCATCTTTAAAGAGCAGCTCTGCTTCCTGCTGCTACTGCTGCTGCATGCCAATTACAGGAAGAGTCGGTGACTCACAGGAAGTGCACACGCTGCTGGCCTATGAGGGGCAATAAAGCGCACAAGTGGTGGGACCAGACCCGTGGTTAATGATGGAAAGGGGATCTTGGAGAAAGCATTTATGTTCCTTTTTTTAATTTGAAATGTGAGCAGTCATTTCTTACGGTGAGAGCTCTAATCTTGATGTTAGATATCACTTTTATAGGCATCATGAAAATGTTTAATTTCAAGGAAATGTAAGGGTTTTTTTTCACATTGAGATAGTAAGCAAAAGTACAAAAAAAGAAAAATATGGAGGAGCAGAGTCTGAAAAAGAGGTGGGGAAGGATTATATTGGTCCTTGGTATAGTAGTAGGCACTGCTATTATAATAAGTGAGATAATTTTACGCATTTATTTGCGTCTTTCGTCGTGTTGTCATGTTGAATGTTTTCCTAAATTCAATTAAGACACACATGCCGTGTGGTGGAAATATTTTTCATGTGCTCGCCCGTGTGTCCTCAGCGTACCTCTATACAGAACTACCAGTAAATGATTGCCAGCTGCATGAGGCATTGTGCTGAAATTTCCAGGTTTAAAATGGGGCACACATGCGTCACTCTGGCATTCAAAAAACTGGCCTTGCTTCCCTGGCTCTTGCTTGACACGTGGCAACAGGAGAGCTGCCGATCAGGGGCCATTTTTAGACAGCTTCTGTGATCTTCTTTTTTTTTTTTTCCTGCGTCTCTCACCCTGACAAGTGTAGCCTAGAACTGTTGCCTCACATGATTTATTCTCCCTTTTATCCTGCAACCAGGAAAAGGTAAAAAGGTGAAGCCGAGAGGAGTGGAAAACAGGAATAGATCCAACATAGCTGCTGTTACGAATCGGCTGTTAGGTGCTGCGGAAATCGTCTGTGTGTATTTGCTTGAACGTGTGTGTTTGCAGAGAACACAAGCAGTACAGATGAGGCCCCTACTGCAGATGGAGAGGCTTATTTGACGACAACAACAAGAAAAGTGGAAAATAAAACTAATTTTAAAAAACAAACAAAAAACAAACAGAACATGCAAAAAAAAACAAAAATCAGGAAGTAGTGCAACACAACACAACTACTACTTGCAAATGTGGGAGCTCTGAAGAAGTGCTTATCGGGTTTGCCTAATGCGGGCTGTGATTTATAAGAGGTACACTGCTTTTTGCTTTAAATTGTCTAGAAAACACCCACTCACAGGCTTTCATGCCAGTGTGAGCGTGCTCTGTGCAGGTGCACCGATGGACAGATGGGGATGGGCTAGGTGTGGGTTAAGGTTATCGCAGCCCAGTACTTATTCAGAGCTCCGGGGACTGATGAAAGAAAGCTTTAAAAGGAGCAAACCTGATTGGCTGGTGCTGTTGCTGCGTAGGGGACACTTGTGGCAGGAGTTGTTGCTGCAGAGACAGTAGCAGGCGTAGCACTGTACATCATTGGGACTTTGTTTTGAGGGTGGGAAAGGGAAGAGGGGAGGAAGAGGAGGAATGGGGGTAAGAGGGAAGGAGGTGGTAGCAATGGACAGGTAGGTGGAGCATTATGGTAGTTGTAACAGTTGTGGTGCGTGCGTGCGTGCGTGCGTGCATGGGTGCGTGCGTGCATGTTGACGGGGTTGTTGTTTATTTTTTGTTGTTGGTGTTGATGGTGGCGGATGTTACAGAGAGCCAGCAAGCCATCGTTAGGGTTACACCGGCAGATGGCATGCAACCATTCACAATGCAAAGCAAAGGAGGTCAGGAAGAAAGAAAGAAAGGAAAAGAGAGCATGGGAGAAAAAAAAACAAGAGGAGAGAAGCTGATTACAATCACAAGTAAGGAAATTTATGTGGAAAATCAGTTTGCTGTTTTTCCCAGAGAAATTAAAGGGCACAAGACACCAATTATGATGAATCGATGGCATGGGGATGGGAACTTTTCAATTCGTGTGGGCTGACGAGTCAAACAGCAGAGATGAGAGATCTTAAAAACCCAAGTGGCTGTTAGGGCTTATTTCTAGTCATTAGTTTACCTTGTTGCTAATGTTGGACCTGCTGATGTTATCAGCTGAATTTCTGGTAATTCCCATCCCCTGTTGTGCAGCGACAAATGCTCCGGTTTGTGTGTAATTTCTCTGGGAAACTGATTTAAATTTCCTGATCAACACAGCACAGCAAACAGACAAAACTATCCTACAGCTTAAGAACAGATCAGTCTGCGGCGTCCACGCTAACACTTTAAACATTAGCAAGAGAGTGAGTCAGCGGCGAGACGAGCGCTGAAAAGTCACATCTCTTCCAGGTGAAACAAAACGGGCAGCTTGATAATAACTCACAAGTGTTCGAATCATGTCCTTTTGTCTCACCTGCAAGGGGGGCTGCAGATAGTGCCCACTCATACCCCCACCCCCACCCCTCCATCCCCCAAAACTCCCACCTAAATTAGACAGTGTGTGTGTGAGAGAGCAAATAGAAGGTCAGAACCTACCAAGACTGCTAGCGGGAGTCATGCACAAGACTGACCCTGTTGTGTTCATGCAGAGAAAGATAAAGAGAGAAAGGGGGGAAACAGAGAGGGAGAGAGAGAGAGAGGGAGAGAGAGAGGAGGAAATAAATGGGTTAATCGAGAGGAAGGAGAACAACAAGGTTAGACAAGACACACAGAAAAAAAAAACCCAAAAGGCTTGAGGACTTCACTCAGCTCAGTTGCTATTGTTACTGGAGCAATGTCGGCTGATTATGAAAGCAAGCAGAGATGTATTAAGTTGTTGAGTTATTTATTAGTTAGAATACTGTTTATATGCAGCTGCAGCAAAGTTTAACATAAAGCAAACTTAGGTACGGAAAAATCTGGACAAGTTTAGCAAAGTGCAATGCAGCGCTAATGTAAGTCTGTCTGTCCAGTTTTCCATTTTTCAGGGAGTTTTTCCCGAGGTCAGAGGATATTCATTTTTGGTGACATATTGTATTAATGCGTCATTTCAGGCTGCGCAATATTTAAAAAAGACTTGAGCCTGCTCGTATTGTATGTTAGGCTTCTTACAACAACATGCTGTTCTGCATGTTTCTTGTTTTGGAATTTCTGAATAGCTGCACATGATTAAATGATCATATCAAAAAAATAAACAGACAAAGAAATCGCACTTTTTGGTCAAAAAAAAAAGAGGCAAGAATAAAACTGAAGAGGTGTGCCAGACAGCAGCATCATGCAGTATCAGTACAATGATGTGCACAGGCTTCTATCCAGATCAGATGGAGATACGTGGGGTTTTTACTGTACTCAGGTAAGCCTCCATCACATACATATTACAGGCAAACAACTCCTGAGACTTTTCTTTTTATCTTAACTTTGAAGAAACCCCACCTATCTGAAATGTAAAAGGTTATTAAAAAAATGCAACTGTGAGCCAGGCTACGCCCCACACACAGATACACACAGAGGAAGGGATGATGAAGCACCATTAGGAATCCCGTACCAAGGGAAACAAAAAGAGCAGGCAGGTAGTGAGAAGAGCGAGGGATAGGAGTTTTATCCTCATGAGTCATGAGTGTGGCTACAGGCTACCATATTAGCTGCAGTTAACTCATTTAGCAAGTGACTCAAGGGCCCTTCAGGTACTGCTATTTTCTGTGCGAAAAGCAGACAGAGTGGTCATTTGCAGGTAAAAATCACTGAATAAATTTGGTAAAACTGGAATAAAATTATCGCCAAAATAACAATAATCACCATATTTTGTATATTTTAGTATTGCACTTGTGCTGAAACAGTTGGGCTTGTTTTGCTCCTTTGTATGCTTGGGGATTAGACTGGCAGGTGTATCATATTGAGGTGGTAATATATGATAGCTTTCATTGCTCTGATCAAAGCGCGCACTGCCCTTCCACCTGGCAGCAATTATGTGTTTATATTTGCAGGCACTAGATCAAAGTTTTAGGGATGGCGCAGTGAATATTGAAAACACACCCTCACAGCGAAGGCCTTTATTAGCATCACTCAAATAAATCCATGCCAAAAGATGAAAATTAGGCTAAACAGATGTAAACGGTCATTTGAGAATCCCCTCTTTTATGCGTGTGAAGCTCCAAAACAACAACACGTTTGGAGGATAGCTGTGCGTCTGTGTGTGCGTGCGTGCTCCGCATACCTATGAGTGCTTTGCTTCTATCTGCATCTGCGTGCTGCGTGTGTGTCTTACCTGTGGGAAAGAAAGCGGGCTGCTGGAGCTGTGCGTTGGCCAGCGCCTGCTGGTAGTGCAAAACACTGGGATTGAACAGGGAGCTCGCTCCGTTGCTCTTCTCAAGTGCTGGTCTCTTTGGTAGGGGCTGGAGGACGCCGTGGGGGAACGCCTAGCCACCGACAACACACACACACACACAACAGGAGCACAGCAGATTTGAACTGTATACTCACACAAGTCGACACTAACATTTCCTAAATCTGGTATTTGTCTATGCACAGCACAAGAAGGCAAAAATGGAAACTTGCTGTAACTATCACAAGGACAATGAGAAACTACACCGTAGCAGGGCAATCGTCAACAACACATTAAAGAAAGTGCGATAGCTGGAGTTATTTTAACATTACATTGTAGTTGTTCAGTTAACAAATGTACAGTACAATCTAGACTTGCCACTGGTGATCAGAAATGATACGTATTTATATCATTAAAGTCTTTTACAGGGTTTCACAAAAAACAAAAGAGCCAAATTAAATTTTGTGAGTGGCTACAGTACAATTAAAGAAGCTACATGCAAAGCAAAAGGTGAAAGGTCAAAGTACCAGGTCTACAGTTGCCTCGAGGGGTCGCTTCATTGCTTTGGCAGTCGACTGAGTCTTTAATTAGCAGGCAGCGAGCACATGATGGCAGTGGGCCAATGGGATTCAAGCGTATTAACATACAGGTAACAGCAAGCAGAGGTGCGTCATGGGGGACAGCATTGCATTGTGGATAGGTGAGAAGGAAAAAAACAAAAACAAAAATAATCTGAATGCAAGTATACCACATACAAAACAATAGGCATGCACATAAACAAAAATTTGTTTTGTTTCGTTTACTTTAAAGAAACATTGCTACTTTTTGAATTAGTACAAAAGCCAAAAAAAAGCATCTACAATTAAACTTTGGTTAAAAAAATAAGCAAGATTCTACAATGTACTCCAAAGCTACCGGGAAAGCATTTAGTAACTAACTACTTCTGAACAGCAAGAACAGAAAAGTAGTACGCTAAACACGACTGGCTCAGACTAGGAATATTGATCTGACACTTGATGTGAGATCTGCGCTGAAGTTCTCAGCAGTGTTCAAAGTAAGACACTACAGACCTACGCACACAACCATTAAGGCGCTCCTGGAGAAAGCTAACCTATTTGATGACGTGAGGTGGTTCGAGGCTGACAAACGTTAAAATGTACACAACAGACTCGGATGTGAGTGAGGTAAAAAAAGACACAGCCCTCACAACCAGCAGCAAGAACTGGATACCTTTGTGAAGGCAAATTTAAAAAAACAAAACAAAACAAAAAACTACAAATTAGTACAGATACTAGCAAAGGCTAACAAAAATAGTTTAACAACCACATCCTTCTCTGTAGCGTCAATTCAACTACAGACACATCCTCAAACTAAATCTGCGTTGTGAGGGTGTGTGGCGTTGTTAGGTGTGATCAATGAACTCGGGAAGGTGAGGCAACGTTACAGTTTAATAACATAATGTGGAGCTCTGTTTATTAAAATTCCTCTAATCTAACAAAGTAAAAATAAGTCATTTTATATCAATTGTTTTTGTGCTAACTTCTTAAAAAACATCCTGATATTTGATGTCACTGCTGAGAGGGGGAAAAAAAGAAAAAAGATGACACGGGTGTGATGAACACAGCACTTAAGGGTCCATGCACAAGCCTATGCTTCATGTATGTGGGTTTTTTAATAGTATGTATGTATGTCCAATTAAACAGCAACAATGCATTGCTGATGCACCACAGAGTTAAACATTGCGGTTAGTTAAAATGAAAGATGCTCTATTAAAGTGACATGAAAAGCAAAGATGACTGCATTCGCCTTTGTAATGAGGAAGAAGATCACAGCATGGCAAGCAACACGTAATGTGGCACAGTAAAACAACATAATCTCAGTGAGAGGACCTTTTTACTGTAACTGCATCAGTTAATGTGTAACCTTATCTACTGTGCGCTTTATCCTATTTGCTTTAGATTTTAAAAAGTGAATTATGGATAATGGTATTACCTATTCACAGCAGTGCAGCAAAACAGGTTTTATGGGTCTCTGCTTCAATAAAAGGACTAAAAGAAAATTGGATTAAAGGTGCTGACTAAACAACTCGTTGTCTTAAGGTTAGCCCTCCTCACCTCTAGTGCAGAATCTGACTGCACAATTTGGGAATTGGGTCATAAAGTTGATAAACTGGGGAGGAAGACGGGAGGAGTATGAGCAAAGGATTGTGAAGAGGATGCACCGGCAATATAAACTCGTGGTACCTTTAAGAAAACAGCGCAGTCAGGTCAACATCAGGTTACAGCGCCTTCGGGTCTCAAGGCCTTTTTTCTTATTTATGGATGCTTCAATTTGCTGTTGCTTGAATGCAGCTGCTAATATGTGCACACGCTAGCCTGCCTTATCATCCACGCTGTGGATCAGTCATGAAGGAAGAAGAAGGAGAGCAAGCAGCAATGGAGCCAGCCAATGAGAGGTGTGTGCGACGCACAAAGCATGCCCATGCCATGGAGGAAAAAAAGTCAGTGAGCACACTGGCGCAGTGCAAGGTGTGCGAGTGCAGTTAGCCACAGGATCATTCAAAAGAAGCCGCTCAGAGGCCGGGGAAAGGCGGGGCACAGCCAAGACATAATGCCAAACTCTTCTCACTGTCTCTCTGGCTGACTTGAATTCTGTCTGCTCCTCACATTGTTGGGGAAGTTTTATTTATTTATTTATTTATTTATATTTGGTCAAAATAAAGGCAGAGGTAGGATGCTGCATCCTCATCCGTCCCAAATTCAATTTGTATTGATCTGCAGAGAACCGCACTTATCATTGAGAGCAGTGGGGTTGGATGAGGGGGTGAGCCAGGATATTGTCTTTGTACGAAACAAGGGCATTGGAAAATAAAAGAGGACTGCAGAGAGATAATAACAGATTGTTCTTGCGGAGTTACACTGATTTGTTTAGGTCTCGCTAAAGCCTTTTTATTCTATACAAAGGCCACTCTTTGGGATGACTATTGTTGGTGAATTGTGCACTGGAGTCCACTAGAAAAAACCCGGCAGAGGTGGGTAGGTTTTGTGCAGTAATAAAGCAGTGCTCCACATTTTATGTTACTGTAGGTGACACGGTCAGCAACATGTGCTTAGGTTTCGTGTACGTCAAGATGATTTGGATTAATGTTTTGCCTTCAGAGGGCCTATGTGTTATGTAGTCTAACTAGTACAAACTTTACTCAGAAGGGTCTCTTGATCTGAAACATTATGTGATTTGTATAAAGGCAGGTAGCACCAGGCACAGCAGTTTTATTACCACCTCCCCTCTGCTATAATAAATTTGATTTCACTGCGATATACTGTATATATTATGTTGTGCTTCTTATGTCTATCCATAAAACTTCCAATCATCATTTATTTGATGCACAAATAATAGAAAAAAGTATAAAAGTTTTCCACAGCCTCAACTCTTAGAAAGTTCCAGGTATGCTGTATATAAGAGCTATAAAACAGCCCATCTAAATGTTACAAGCTCTTCCACTATAAACACTAAACAAGCAGAAACCTTGTGAAACTAGTATGTTTGTGTCTTTCCTGCTCTACTGCTGTGAAGCCACGAGACACAGAAGGTGGGCTGTACTCTCACCATGGCTGCAGCTGTGGCAGCAGCTTGCGCAGCCACAGCTGTCTGGTTGGCCTGGTGTTGGGCGGCCTTAATCTTGGCCTGCAGGTGGGCGGGGGGGTGGAAGTACTTGCACTTCTCGCGAGAGCAGCGACTCTTGATGTAGTCCATGCACACGGTGACCGTGTTGTCGCTGGTGTCGATCATGGGGCTGTCGCTCGGGTGGGCGAAACGGCAGTCTGTCTCGCCGCGAGCGCAGTTGCCCCGCTGGAACTCGCGGCAAACCTGGAAGCGGGACAGTCACACGCACACAAGGACACACACGCACACAGACAGACACGCATGGACACGTTCACACAGAGGAAACAAACACACGTAGAAGACAAAACAGTGAATGCTTTAGCTTTCGGTACATGTCAGGAAACAAAACAAGGCTGCTCTCATTGCTTTAGCTAGCAGCGGCTCCTTATATTTCTTGTCATCTTAAAGCAAGATGACTCAAGCAGACATCAAAATCTTGATAAGATTATTAGATTTATCTTTAAGGATTTGAAATTTTGTCATCTGACTGTTTTAACTATGACAAGCCTGAAACATCAGGGATTTTCCAGTCGAGAAAAGCTTCTGACACACCCAAAAGATGTCAAAGCCATTAATGCTGGGCATCATTTACTCAAATATTACCTACATTTCTGTTGATCAGATGATCAAAAACAACAGAATGCATGCATTTCTGTTCAATAAGAGATTGCTCTTTTGCTCTTTTTACATTGCTCTCACTGATAATGCTTACAAGCATAATCATCCTCCAAGTTTAATACTGCATAATAGAGCAAAAAGACTTTTTTTCACACAACGCCTATATGATAACAACAATAACAATTACCAACACATAATGAATTATGGCTGCAGTGGTTCATGTGAGTGTAAGGAGTGTGAGAAGCAGCACAGCGGGTTAATAAATAATATATTACATATATGGGAGAATATTAAAAGCACACTGTGAGATACTGTATAAACATTTGCCATATAGATTTATTCATAGTGATGCGCTTCTCTCCAAAAAGAAGATAACTGCAATAACAATCTTCTCTCAGCGTCCCCCAAAATAAAACGTATATGTGATACACATAATATTAAAAAAGGGAAAAATGAAAAAGCATAATTTTGTGTTATTTGTTGTTGTTGTTTTTAAATAAGGCTATTAATTAGTTTTGGACACAGTGTGAAAAGGGCTCAACAAAACGTAACAAAACCTAAGTGTGTGTGTTCAACTGTTCAGAGGCTTGGGCGTAATCACAGGAGGGATCTGCTTTTGACTTCCACTCTAGGACTGAGACACACACACATATACAGGCACACACAGACATATACACACACACGTGTGCACGATGGCTTTGTGGGGGAGTATGTAAGTGTCTCAGAGGGATACTGTTTCATTAGAGGCTGCTTCATTCAGTTGCTAAGTGATAGCACTCTGCAGAAAAACACATACAGGCACACACCTACACATCACCTCTAGGTCTTAGGGAGATTATTGTTTATCTTTATAAATATAGCGGGGTAAAAAAACAAAAAAACAAAAAAAACTCCACTGCCTCACAATCACAGAGCTATTCTCATTCAGCGTCGTTTGCCAGGGGGGCAGATGGAGATGGCTGAAGTTGCTGAAAGCGTCCCAGCCGAACTGCGTCTGTCTAGCAAGTAGCAGTTTATCTTGAAAAAATTCCAATTACAAAATCTTCAATAACACCATCTTATTTATTACTTCTACAAGGCATAACAAAATCATACCCCTTAAGTTGTGTTCAAGGACACAGCTGATATAAAGATCTATGAGGAGAGGAGCCTAATACTGATGTTTCCATGAAAAATGATCCCCCCCTGAAAGACAAAGCCTGGATACGTGCTGGTTATAAAACAGCTACCGCAGTTACAAATCTCACAGCCTCTTTTTTTTTTTTTTTATAAAAGAAACATGATTTGAGATTTAATTGTTTTGCTCCCACTTAACTTTTTCAGAGCCTGAATTGTTTATTTGGACTCATTCCAAGGCAACTTCAAAGTGTATTTATTCACGTCATTTATAACTTGCTTATAAAACAGAATGCTAAAAACTTGCTTACCCTTTCAGGTCATTATCTAAGGTAAATTATACTACAAGTAGCGCATTTAAAAAAGCTAATTCAAAGTGGAGAGTTTGTATATGGCTGTATTTTCATCGCTGCAAACTCTTGTGGAAATTAAAGGAAGTAGTTTGCATTTTTTACCAGTATAAAGAAAATCTTTGGAGAGAGCAGACATGTTTTTGGAAGTACTGCATCACAGAGGGTCCTGTAAAAGCTCCTGAACTATAAAGGATACTCATTTATAATCACAGTAAGATGCTACACTAATTACACTTCACAGCCTCAAAGAGTACATTCACTATGATTAAGTGCCATGCAGGAGAATTCTGATTGGATGGGTCACCTCCAGCTTGTCAGTACGCAGAAGTTTCTGGTTGGAGGAAGAGCCAGCGGTCACGGAGACGGGCGGGCTGCCGGGGACGATAACCGGAGTGCTGGGCAGGATGTCTGTTGGCACCAGACCCATGCTGTGGGACATGGGAGTCAGGTAGGGTGTGTAGCTTAAACCTGCGCTGGACCCCAGCCCCTGGCTGACTGGAAACGTCTGCTGCAGATGGAGAGAAACGACATGTTTATGACTGCTCTTTCAGTAGCTATTTTTCACATCCTTAATTAAAATGGTAAGGATAGATAAAAAAAAATGCTGAACTGAAAGATGATGGATGTAGGCAGGGACAGTGGGAAGTGGAGGGTGAAAGGCAGTAAGAGGGTATGGAGATGAGAAAGAAAGAGAGAAGTAAGGGGGAAAGAGACACCAAAGGCAAATGAACAGAGGGTGCAGCTGGGGAGAGAATGTGGCAGGTAGAGAGAGAGAGAGTGGGAAAGGGATCGGCTTGAGAAAAAAAAAGAGAGAGAGGAGTGTGAGAGTAGAAACAAGAGGAGGTTCAGGTTTTTTTTGTTTTTTTTTAACCGTTATGTATCCCAGGAAGATTTTGCTGAGCATGCACGTTCTTTTTTTGTTACACCTAGCACTAAAATGATGCAGTTAAACAAAGTCACACCTGGCAGCTACCCAGTGCAACCACAGTATAGGGCTGGCTGCTGAGCAACTCCCTGAGGACAGCTGGGGACTTTTTGTACGTTGCACAAGGGCATTACAAAAGCGAAAAAAAAATTTCTGATCTTCCAAGCCTGAGACGTAATCTAAAAACAGTCAAATCTGAGAGTTTAGATAACAATAAAGTACCTTACCAAAGACTGGATAAAGTCAGTGAATCGCATTGCTTGACGCCAAACTTTTTAATGCTAATCACGACAATGGAATTCACTGCTATTTTCTCAGAGAGACAATCAATTCCCACAGTAGCGAGTTCACACTAACCACAGGTTGCATGGTGGTGCCGGGGATCATAAACTGCATTTGTTGAGCCAACATGGCGGCAGCTGTCTTCTGCTGGATCAGGTTATTTCGCCCGTTGATCTCCAGCTGGGTCTTCAGGTGAGCAGGTGGGTGGAGGTATTTGCAGTTCTCTCGTGTGCAGCGACCCTGAGCACAAGTAAACAAATGTGATGGGGGAGAGGAAGGCGAGAGGGCGAGGGAGACAAAACAAGTCGTTAATGGTCCGAAAACTTCAACTCTCTCATCAACAGCATGAACAGAAAAGCAGCCAGTTTTTTGTTGATAAAGCTGAGTGTGACTAGGCTGTGGGCCTGCCTGAGGATGTGGCAGATACGTGGGCACTGACTCCAAAACATCAGGTGCTTGAAGGCAGCATACATATTCATACAGAGTGTGAAACAGAAATTCATGGGGATGGTTTGTGCTTTTGAGCAGAAACAACGCTATGGAAGATGATTACCATTTGATCTACTAGGTTTTTAACTGGAAGGTTAAAAGGTCATGCTTGCAACATGGACACACTGTCTACCTAGTATTCGTTGCAGATTGGGGGGGGGGGGGGGGGGGGGGGGTAGGCTTGCAGAGGCCATGGTGGATAAAGGCAATTACACTGTCAACCCAGAGGCTAACAGCAAACACAATAATTCAATATGGATCCAGGCTGCTGTGCTTACTGCAACGAGAGTGGGTGGAAGAGAGAGGGGAGAGGAGAGGTCAGGGGGGAGCGACAAAGTGAATGGTAGCATGAAAAAGGACTCTGGAGCTATGTGGAAGATGGTACATAAAGGCGAGGAGAGAAGAAGAAAAGATGTGGGCAGAACAGACTGTTCGGAATTAGCAGAGAGGACAAAGGTCAAGGAGAAAACAGGAGAGATGACACATCTGGCATGACACGGCAAGTCTTGGTGAATGTGATCGAGAGAAGAGGTAACTGAGCTAAGCTTAGCGCAGTCTCGCACAAACGGCTCTGCTGCTTTGTCCGAATGCCCCTTTAACTCCATGACACAGATGAGCGTCACCACAGTGGCCTGATTAGCATTATCATACTCATCACTCCTCTATATGAAAGTATGACAGGTCTGCCTAGCTTCCACGCAGTGATCGGTTATGACTGAGTTTAATTACACAAGCGCTGCTCTCAAACACTACATCCATACCCAGACAGACAAAATGACAACAAACCACCAGGCAAAGCTACACACAGGATGTGTCTCATGTACTGTAGCGGTCTGGCGTGTGCAATGATGTGTATTATATTTGACAGGGTAGGGGGACTCCAGCTGAGTAGTGCAGTGAATTGTGAAAATGCCAATGACAGACAAAAAAAGGAAACAGCCAGCTTCAAGTTGAGTGGGGAATGTATAAATATTATATCAGTCTCCTGATATTATTATCATTCTAATGATAGTTGTGATTATTAGTACATGATCTATATATATTATATATGCGTGACTGAAACCCATGTGCAAATTGTCGCTGCTAAGCAACTTAGGAGGCCTATTATCTGTCTTATGTATACTGTTACAGTAGTAGAGTTGATGTCTGTGTATGTACAAGCAATTGATATAAAGTAGTAACTCAGTTTCAGACTTAAGTTTAATAAAGTTTTTCTACTCTTGGATCTGTTTGATATCAAACTGAGTGGAGAACCTTTATAATGGTCATCTCAGGGAGACTAACTGTGAGCATCGAAGGGGTTCACCCACCTGCTGCTTCAAATTTTACAAGGAGGATGCCAGTCAGAAGAAAAGTGAGGGGGAAAGGAGCTAAAATACTTTGTTTCAGACCTGTTTTTTGTGTTGGAATATCTGAGGTTTAAATCACCAAATGTATCTGTATCGGTTTTAAAAATCCTATATGCATGGCAAAATATACATGAATGATTATTAACTATGATTCATGCAAAGCTGCTAAATAAATAGTCTCTTCAAGTCTCATCAAAGCAAAAACCAATATAACTATCCTGCTATTCTGTTCTTCGTGGCAGATATTAAAAGGCACTCCCAAACACACTGTTAGTGTTGTTCCAATTACAACTGATTGGAAGCGCAAGAGAGCAAAGCCACAAAGGATATGAAGTCTGTAAACACTATAGGCTCCTTTGCAATCACTTTTTCACATGAGTAATAAGATACATACAAACAAAGTTGATCCCAGGTTCAAGACTTTCAGAGACCTGGGTGCAGAACTATGAGTCAAAAGAGACTGACCTCTAAAACCTGGTGTCAGAGCTGCAGTGAGCCGGCTCTGGTGTCAGAGCTGGCTCACTGCAGCCACTACCTCCCTCCTCCTTCATGGCTCACACGCACAAAATCACACCTGCCCACACATACGCATACTAAATCTCTCAATCGCAACAAGCATCACCCACACACACACATACACACACCGGCTTAGGGATGCAGGCTAATGGATATACACACTGTTGTACTCAGCTCCATTCAGGCCTGTCCAGATCAGAGGAATAATGTTAGTGCTGGACCAAAAACCTCAGAGGTGTCCAAACTAATTGAAGCCTTATGCACCGCCACCACAGTCAAAAGTGACAAAAGGTGTGTGTCGGTGCTCTATGTGTGTTTTGTGTCTCTGTGTCCACAAGAGAGGATGCGTAGGCAGGTGTAACTGTGCATGTGTGTGTCTGTGCGTGCAGGAGAAAATGTGTGGGCGGGTATAACTCTGTGTGTGTGAGAAAGGGAGCTGGTGCTGAAGCTGAGCTCTGGACAGCATCCCAAACCGAGTCTGCGGGGAAGCGCAGCATCAATATCGCGCCCCGCAGAGATCACAGACACAGACGGACACAAATAAAGAGACACGCAAAAAAACACACACACCACAGACCCTCACCGCACACTATGTCGCTCAGTTCACTCCAGACTGCACTCTGGAGCCATTACCTCACTTTCTGCTCCATATTCGGTTCATCTACAGCCAGTGAATGACATATGCTTTCTGCAAATGCTCGTCATTAGTCTTCACTTAAAGCGATGAGGTAAATGGTGGCAAAGCTCCTTGTTTTGTGATTCTTACTAAATGCAGGCCTTGGAATTGTAGAACTTTCTCCTTTTATCTCGTCAAACTTTATTTAAGAGCATTTTCTTACTGATCTATTCACGATCTTTCACAGCATTGTGCTTGGTCTTTGCATAAATTTGTTTTAATTTATCCCAGTTTTCATCTAGTCTGTAGGTGGAAGAAGAAGCAATAAAAATAAGTAGTTTCAGGGCTGCCATGGCAATAGAAGACCCAGTACTATTAAACACAGTGAAAGGATTCAGTGCTCTAATTTATTATATAAACATCCCTTATTTGCAGGAGATTGCGGGATATAGTTCGTGTACGTAAGCTATATCGATCTCCGCCTATATTTACAGTGGTGTTTAAAGCAGAATAATCAATGTTCAGTAATTTCCCCAGCAAGAAATTTTTATTTGTTAGCAGGATTACTCAAAAATTTATTGACAGATCTGCATGATATTTGTTTTTATCAGCGGTGGAGATCTTAAAAGCACCTTGTATAATTGATCCAGATCTGGATCTATTCATTTTTGGAATTATTACCAAAAATAATTGATAAAAGACATTTGGTGCCACAGTTTTTAAAACAAATTATCCTGATATTCGCAGGAAAATATCACAAACTAATCTACAGATATTTTTCTGGACCCAGAGTTGCAGTTTATGCATATCAGACCTTTTTTTCTTCTTTTTGTTGTTAGTTACCGTGTCAAATCTCAAAAGACATTAAAAGTTTATAGTGACACAAAAGTCATACAACTTATGTAGATCCGTGGGACTGAAGTAGTTAAAAACTCAAAGGTTAGCAGATGTTAAAACATGTTTCGGCATAAGTGTGTAAGGTAAGGGTGTGTTGGGGACTAAGGCCCCTAGGCAGTTAGCTACCTTTGATAGAAGTCAAAGTTTACTTAATAAATCCCGGTTGCTAATGTGAAATGGGATCCATGAAGACCAGTTTGAGTAATGGGGTCTCAAGACACCACATCAGACACTCATAATACTGTGCAGTGAGGATCCTTGGACTGTGAAGTTCAAGGCTGCAAGATACTAAAATACCAATTTGGCCGATATAGATAACAATATTTTTACAGTCTTTTAATTTTGTTTTTGTTCTTATTTATTCACCTTTTTGTTTTACGGTAATAAATTAATCTTAAAATAATTTACTGACCTGTTTAAAAGTCTTCAAGCTCTACAGCACACAATTTGTCTACCACAGCTTTAATAAAACTGATTTGACAGCCAACAGGACCGATACTGGGTGATACCTACATGAAGCCAATATATTGATGCATCCCAACTGCACATTGGCTTTTATTGCTATGAAACTTGTCTTGATTATTGTGTATGAGTACGCATGAAAGGCTGCAATCTTTTAGATTGATTACCAAAGCTGGTGTGAACACAGCCTTACCTTTAACGTGTCAAAGTGTCAGAGTTTGTTTTTCTGTTATTGAGTGTCTTTTAAGAGCTTAACCTTCTCTTTGGATAATCATAAGCGGAATATGAATGGGCTATAAATACGTTTAACTGAGCCTCAAAACGGCTTGTAAAACATTAGGTTTCAGACACAAGAAGAAATGAGGTCATTTAAAAGAATTTCAGCTGTGTTCAGACTAGATGTTTAAGGTCAGTGAATCTAAGACTATTACAGGCTAAATCTAGACATGGAGACATAATAGTTAATGCTGAAAAGTTCAAAGCAAAGAGAAGGTTAATAAAAACGTACACCCCAAGACATAGAATATTCATTATACTCATCCAGGTGGTAATTTTGGTAATTGGACACAGCAGCAAAGAGGGATGAAGATCTAACATATGCTTAATCGCAGACATGATAATAATAATTCTTGCTTAAATAAAATATGGCAAGGCAAATTGCAGTTACGATCTAGTGATGGCTACACATATCAATTTGGGAGTGCGATAATGATGGTCATGAATGAAGGGTCCAGGCTGCAGTTTGAAATGCCACACTTGATGATTCAAAGCACATAAGATGAGGTAAGCTTTGTGGAAAGGCACCGCTGCATCGCACATAAAAACGAAGCGTGTTTATGGCTTATGGTTTAAGCAGTGAGCTGGTTCACCAACGCATCGATGACGGTGCTAAAAAGCTGTGGCTGATGACA